AAGCTTTCCACCGTTATCAGGACAGCGGAGTCTACATATCTTCCGTTACAAACTGAAGACCCACCTGTTTCGCCTGTATCTTGGCTAATAATCGCAAACAAACTTTGCACTTAACAATGATATTGCTTGTTTGAAATACAATTATGTCAGCACAGTTATTGTTGTCCTTAGTTTGAATCTTTATGGTTTATTGCACTTATTGTAAGTCACTTTGGATAAAAGCGTCAGCTAAATGCATTGTAATGTAATGTGTGTAGGTGAATATGTGTGTGTGTGTATGGGGGTGGGTGTTTTTCAAGTAGTCCTTAACCTTTCGCCCTTACATATTTTGGGCTTCAGTGAGTCACTTGACAAAACTGCCAGGGTGTTCAGAATGCTACTGGTGAGCAAACCTTTCAGTGACTTTTTGCAAGCCTCCCCTCTCGTTAAATCTTTATCTTTTGGTGCTGGAGCCTAAGAGCACTCTGTAAAAACACACAGGACACTAAAACCAGGGCGCTTTTAATGCAGGTGTTCTGTCAGATTCACAAGCGGAACAATGTTTCAAAAAGATCCTTGCCCGCGAGCGAGGCTTTTTGGAAACGTCCGGATAAAGTAAAAATGTCAAAGCCTTAATGGACTGGAATGTTAATTGAGGCATTTATCATAATGTTGAATCAAAGCTTTTACATGGACATGGAAACGGGCTGTCTGGACCTGCACAGCCCTTCCAGGAGTCCCGGGGGCATTGTCAGTGCAGCTCCTATCGAGTTACAACATCCCGCCTGAGTGCTGCGGCCTTTAGGGGTTTCTTTTCTCAACCGTTTCGTAATGAAAAATGAATAACAACTCGATAGAACTAATAGGAGCAATACTTATTTTATGTTACAGTGACAGAGAGCATAAAATGAAGAGTCTGGATGGAATTTGGCCAACACAAGCAGGTAGTCTGCTTATAAATCACCTTCCTGTACAGTGAAATGAACAAGGGGTGTTGCGGAAATGAAGACCATATGGATGTGTATATAGAGCAAGATGTAATGGTCTCATAATTGTGAGATACACTGAATGTGTTAACATTGCTGTAATTCTTTTTAACAATTCACTCACTTTCTACTGAGTTTTTATCCAACTGCAATCTTTAAAGGTTATCTGTTGGCCAGTATTTGGAAACAGATGTCGACATGCTCTTTAATGTAACTGTGGGCTTGTAAGTTCAGTACTACTATTCCTCCAATAACAGTCGTAAATAACTTTTGGTTGATGTTTTTACTGATTTACTGAGTAGTTGATATTCAGTCATAGCCGAGCAGATAATAAGGAGAGAATTGGATGCATTTTTTCCATTGTTCCATTGTGCTCTTGGTACGTCGCCGTGCATAAGTAAATGTCAAATGTACCTAAGACTGGACTTTTTGGATCACGCAAGCTGAAAATGTCACATAATTATGACTCAAGTTCCGTGACAACGCATTCGCTGGGAAAGAAATCCATTTCAGGATCATAACGAGCTGTGCTGCTTCATCAGGCCCGATGGTAATGACACACAGGTTTTGCCCATTAAAAATGAATTAAATAAAAAATAATATTTTGCACCATTTCAGTTTTCCTGATTCTTAAGATACAAAACATGTTTTAATAATGACGTTCTATTGTCTTTCTTTGCAATTTTTGGAAACCAGCACCTCTTGACTGGCACACTCATTATGCATGCCTGCGTTGCTGGCATTTGAAAAGTGAGAATCATATTTTTATAAAGTTTTATTCCAGTCATGCTCTCAGTGCGATGATCAGACTGAATCGCCATTTAATTTCAAATCAACATTCAGACATCCTGTTCATGTTAGCTTTGTTCTGTCTGGAAGGGGTTGTGATTTTTTGAATAAAACAAAAAGGTAGGTCGACTTAACACGGATGCTTCGGCAGCATTTGCAAAGAACAGTTACCATTTTTTTGTTTATCTATTTCTTAGTTTATCTATTTTGTTCTTTCTCTGTGAAAGTGTTTGATCCAGATTATTACTCTTTCATTTAAGAAATCTAAGAAACTGTGAATTGGACTAATTCCAAGATATACAGTAAGTATATCCCAAAAAAATTGTATTTCCTATTTTTATTCTTCTAGTTTTATATTTTTAATAATGCATTTAATATTACATTGATTATCATCAAGTAAAAAAAAGAAAATGCTAAAATACTGTTGGACTATTTGTTACATTTGTTAGTAGAATCACCTCCACAGCTTAATGATCATTCATTTTGATAAGTAGTCATTTTTTTAATGATATTATATTGTTATATATTACTCCCTATTGTTTTTTTTTGTCTTAAGTAGCTGACTGACAATTTATTTCCGCTGTTTTTCATCATTTTTACATTCATTGTCTTGAAACATGCTTCCGCTAAGGTTAACTTGATTTCAGTATCAGTCTTGACATTAACTGGAGCCAAGAACTACATTTTTTCCCCCTTTTTGAGTCACACTCAGGCGTAATCTTCATTCCTGTGCTTGCTCAGTTCAACGCCCAGCTGTTCACAGCATTTTTCCCGCTGACAGCGATGGAGTCAGGCAGTGTTTTTCTATTGATAGCTCTCCTGAACCGCTGATAGAGAGGCTCCAACTTACAGATGTTTGTGATCATTGCTACAGTGAGAATAAATGGAAGCGAGATGGAGGCCACAGAGTCACTATTGCTTTTGGAGAGCGAGCGGGGCCTTTGGTGGAAAGAAGCTCCCTCGTCTGGCTGAACGGCCATCTTTCATGCGTCGGGGAGTTCGGGGGTGGAGGTGCTGCAAACGAGGGATGGATGAATAAGCTTCAGGGTTCATGGAAAAGTTCACAGACTCAACAACTGAGTTTAATATGTGCCGTATGAGTTATAGTGTTGTGGTAAATTGGGGTCCCTCCAAAATGTCAGAGTTAAGGCGCTCAGAGCTGCTTTGTCAGTGATGTTATTTCCTGGGGGGAAAAAAGCCATCTGGGCCTTAAGATGTCAGACATCTTAGATTAATTTATGATGTATGCATCAGTGCCTGTGAATTTTTTTGTAAATGGGCTGATGGTTGTGTGCCACGTGTCTGTTTTTTGATGAAACCTCTGCATGGTAACCACAGTGTACTGCCTCTTTGTCAAATGTATTTTGATAAAAACAGGAAATTGACTGCAGAAACATGTACAGTAACTATCGTGGTTACGTCAATCGGCTGGTGATGGGCTAACTCTGTTCATCTGTTTGTGCACAATGTATCAATGTGGTGCACAATGGCAAATAATTACTGACAGGATTGCCATGTTGCTATGCAGAAAAACAATGCAAGAGACCTACATTAATAAAGTAAAGAGGCCTTGGAGTATTGTCAACAACTCCCATTAGAATTCCAAAACCAACCATGTGTTCTTTCTTGTAACCAAAGCTTTATGAATGTTATTCCTCTGTGTAAAATACTTATATTGTCCAAAAACTTTTGAACAGCCAAGTGAGCCGAAGTGTTTACTATTGACGTGTTCCTTCATTTCAACTAAGATACACTGCAACTCCGCTGCAACTCTGACTACTTTTAAATCCAGGCTGAAGACTTTTCTTTTTGCCGCTGCTTTTAATTGAACTATTCATATCTTAAACTGCACTGTAACTTTTATCCATGTATTTTTATCTAATATTGTTGTTGTCTAATGACTGTTTTTAAATGCCATTTTCTTAATGCCTTTCATTTTTGAAAAGCACTTTGAATTGCCTTGTATTGAAAGGTGCTATATAAATAAACTTGCCTTGCCTTACACTGAAGTTGAATTTGTCTCAATACACTGTCCTGCTGCTGTAAGTATTCAATAGAACCCCTAATGTGGATTCATCCACAAATGAAAATAGTCCCTAAATGCAAAATGTACACCTGTTTGTTACAGATGTGTTTTTTCTTACAGTGCCTAAATGTTATGCTGTTAAGTGTCAGTCTCCTCAAGTCAAATTAATAAATGCAGTCAACAATCAAGCGTGTTATTATTCCATAGATCATCTATCATTCAGTTATTCAAATATGAATGGACACGTCTGCTCTGCTTGCTCATTCTAGTTAAATACATTATTACAATGAATAATAACAATAAATAATTTAATAGAATCCAACAGAAATATTTACATCAGAATTACGGATAAGCCTTTGTAAAACAAACACTGCGATACAAACAAAGAGAATGCATATCCTTCAAAAACACATTTTGTTAGTAGTTAAAATGGAGTTGAGTTACGAATTTGAAGTACATATTCTGAATTGTAATGTAGTACTCTGTGTATGCGCATCTGAGAGGCACATTCTCTGATAAATTTTGCTTTATGTCCACTCCTTGATGCAACAAAGTTAATATTCTTCAGTTGATAGATTACCCTTACAGTATTTGTATGTATATATATTTTTCTAACCCAATATATTTGAATTAAAACTACACAGAATCCACAGCATTAACAAATAAGGACTCTTTTTATTTGAAATGATTCACCTTTTACACACCGACAGTTACTATACACAAGCCTTTGTGGTCCCTCTGGCCCGAGACATGGTCAGTGACAATGGGCCTCATTCACAAATATGAGCGTAGAAACTTTGCACACAAAAAAGTGTGGCAAATTATAGACGGATTCATGACACATGCGCATTGGTCATTTTTGTATTTAACACAATGCGAATGGTATTAATTCAAATTTGTTTTTGCACTAGAAATTGCTGAGGAAAGCTGATCCTTAGAGGCTAACTATAAAAAACAATGAAAACTAAAACAGTTACATTACATTACACAAAGTTACAAAATAAATAAATTGCACGGTTTGTGCACAGATTTGTGAGTTTGCAATGTTTATGAATGAGGCCCAATGTGTCCTGGATATCAACTAGAATGGCTTATGGCAGATGAGAAGCACACAAGCAACACACACACACACACACACACACACACACACACACACACACACACACACACACACACACACACACACACACACACACACACACACACACACACACACACACACACACACACACACACACACACACATTCAATTACACACAATCGTATTCACATGGACAAGCACACATGCACGAGCACGCACTTGTACACACATACACATATACAGATACAAAAACACACATCACGACACATACTCTAACAATCTAACACAGTCTAGCCATCTAATGTAGACATCAACAGAGGAGGGGCTTAAAGTGCATACAGGAACTGAGGAGGGCCTTACTCACTCTTTTATCAGTTACAGCCTTTTAAATTACGAGCGACAGTAATCCTCCACTAAAGCATGATCTTAGTGCCACGCTGTATCTTTACAAAAAGCATATCCCTTCCCTATTTGTAGCTCAAACTGTGCCTTGCATCATGAAATAAAGACACTGCATAGTTCACGGGGTTAGTCTTATACATTATTGCGGTACAATGTAGAACCAGGTAAGGGGTCCGGGTGTGATCCGTGGGCTGCAGGTTGGCACAGAAAGCATGTATATTGTAGCCCATCTCTTCAGTGGGATCAGAGAAATTAATCCATCATGAGAACGCCCATTGCTTCGCCTGGTTTAGCTTTAAATGTGGGATAATCCATGTGAGGAGAGGTGGGAAAAAATGTTTCCGGATGCATAGAAGGAGTGCAGATGCTGACACGACTCCTTGGCCTGGTCCTGGTGTAGCACATGTTTTGGTCCTTAACAGGAGGCGGTGCAGATCCCCCCCCCCCCCCCCGGGGTCAAACAGGTCAATAAGGGGCAAAGAGGAGTTGTGGGTGGGAGGTCCTGACAGGGCCAGGGGCCGGGCGGAGCAGTGCAGCGGTGAGGGTCTGAGTCTGGAAGAGGTTAGGGGTCGAGGCGTGGTTAGTAATGTGATTAGTGCGGTGCGTGAAAGAGTTGCTGATGGCGGCCGCCACTGCCGCTAGGTGAGCCGGTATGATCTGTGTGTTCAGAGGACACAGGCGCTCCTTCCCCAGGGACAGCTTCACCTTGCAGAGGGAGACAAGATACAGTCAGCACAGTCTATGTGTACACAGGTTGTGCACAATTATGGCTACATGGTCTGTTTTGGTTATAATTGTGGTTTAAATATTGTACGCCTTCAAGTAAGATCAACTATGTATGGCTGGTCAATTGATGTACAATAATAGAGACTAAGCTGAACACTAGTAGCTTTGAACTGTTGAACAGTTGTAACTTGTACCAAATGTCTTTTCTAACTGTCTTCAATAAATAATAATAATAATAATGTAAACACATACAAAAAGGCCAGATCTATATTTATTTTTTATTATAATAGAAATACTTTCACCATTACAGATTAAAGCAAAAGTCAGCAAATGGTAAATGTCATATAAACATTAAATGTTTCGATATTTGGAGACACAATTTGGTCCTTACCAAATGACTGGTTCAATACCAAGCACACTAGCCTACTAAAAGAAGTGGCTTGAATGGAGTCTGTGTACTGCAGAGGTGCCCTTGAGCAAGTCACCCTGCCCCCACACTGCTTCCCAGGTGCTATAGCTGCCTTCCTAATACTAGGATGGTTTCAATGCAGGGACTACATACTGTATGTGTGTGGTCCTGTGAACATGTGGGTGAAAATTAAAAGGGGATTTGATTTCAATCTTGCATTTCCATTTCATTTCCATACAAAATCATTTGCCAATTAATCTAAACTGTATAAGCAGGAAATTAATAAACTGTTATCTTGATAATCAAGTAATAACTGGAGTCCCTTATTCAGGGACAATGCAAAACAATTCCTATTCCCATGTTAATTAAATATTGTGGTTTTTGTACTGTTGGTTGAACAACACATTTGAACACATAGTGCTCTGGGATAGTCTGGTTTTTATTATGTTGTTTATCTCTTTTGTCTTTCGGGGTTTTCCAGACTTCTCTGTTACAATCCTGGTTCCACAGAGACACCATGGTGATGTCACAAACATTAGTTTGCTTAGAAGAAACATGAACAAACAGTTATGGTATGTTATGGCTGAGGACATTGCTGTTGAAGTGCAGTGTGCAGGCACAGAGAGAGAGGGGGGGGGGGGGGGGGGGGGGATCAGGGGAGCAAACAGGTGCCAGAAATCAGGTGCTAATTGCTCCAAGTGTTCAAGATAATCTGAGGCACAAAAGCTTGGATCGCCAATAGACTTGTTAACCTCTTTACATCTAATTTTCAAACGCTTAACGTTCCAGCACTTCAGACTTAAAAAAAAATAGGGGGGAGAAAGGAATTCCAGACCTCTTCTTTTCTGACAAATGCTGCTTATTTTCAAAATCCATAGTAGTGTCCATTGAAAAAGAATAAGGAAGAAGGAATGCAAGAATCCACAGAAGGACAACCGGCAAAAAAGCATTCAACCTCCAGAACCAGCCTAATAGGGTGAAAAGGTCATCAAAGTTATCTGGCTTAATCTTCTGTATCAGTAATGGAAAATCTACGGTCTCACAGCACCGCGATGGCAGCCGTTGTCATGGGTTATCAATCACTGACTCAGGCATCGTAACCCTATGGGAGGCATTCTTTGCTCTCCACTCATCAAAGAAGCTTCTCTCCGTTAACTCAGTCAATGATGGGTTTCAGAAAAAGTCATTTCCCCCACACTGGTAACCCCCGCGCATTGTCTCGGCAAACAGTGGGTGTGATTAATGCCTTCTTCTGGGAGCTTCTGTAAGATGGAAAGTCAGGCGCTCCTTTATCTTTCCCACGTTTAATCCACACGACTCCTTCATGCATCCTACAAATCCTCGTCATGTGGCATTCAATCCTCCTGGAGTGTGAGACTGCCGGGGTTCAGTGGCACAGGACAGTGAGTACCAGAAAGTTGAACTCAGTAAAACATTAAGAAAGTCCTTTCAGTTCACTTATCTTATTCTGTGGTTTGAAAACTCGCCTGAAACTAATTTGGTCTTGATGCAGAAGACCACACGCTGAGCTACTCAAAAATAGTTAAAACTGACATTTACAATTACTTATAAATAATATTCGACCCAAGTTTGCATTCCACCTCCAGCGTGCTGGCTCAGAGGAGCCTTGATTCATGCCATTTTTGTCAATAAAATATCAAGTTTTCAAATGAAATCCCACTGTGTTCTGCCAGTGATCTTTAATAACAGGTAACAGGTGAACCGTTTATGAAAGTTGACATTTTGTTGAATTAGCTGACGTCAAGCAAATTGAATGCTTATCAAAGAACAGAAACTTTAGAGGAGCTGTGCAGGACTTTTAGCTGATAAAGAGAAACATTAAACTGCCAAAATTCTGCATGCAGTTCTTTCCAAAGTGTTCTCCTATTAAAACAGAGCAAAAATGAGGGGTACGTAATCGGTATGGGCGCAGAGCCGCAGAGCTATGATTTCTTTTTGGAAAACAGGAAGTGACTAGAACAAGAGAATGACAATAAACTCAAATATCAAACAATAGCTGTTTGCCATGGGTTGATTTGTCTGTCTCCAAAGAGGCTCTGAGAACTGAGTCATTGTTATTGTTGTGATAACATGATTAAAGTGTGCAGTGACTCACCGGCTGGTTCGTCTGTCCTTTCGGCGGTTTGCTGTACGGGCTGTATTTCGGTTTGGCTGGTTTACCTGCTGCTCTGTCTTTATGACGACGGCTGCTGATGTGCTGAAAAGGAGACAGACATTTTTGTTTGTAAATGTTGCAGACATGTAGGGTTCAGGATTTCACTCTATTGTGGTTAAAGCAGCAATAACAATGAATGAATGTATAAACAGAATAGAACAGTTCAACAAATTGGTTTCTGTGTCTAGCTCTCTCTATATTTATGCCTAAAGTCTGCATTTACCTGAGTGTAAAAGTACATCTGCCTTCATTATAATTAAGGAAAGTTCCCTGTTGGTGTTGCAAGAGGTAACCAATGAGGCCAGGAAAGTGGAGGCAGGAAAGAAGTAAAGGTTCCTTCAGAAATCAAGCATTTGCACTGCTGCCTCTATTGTTTCCAGTTGCGAGTAAAAAGAGAAGCAGGCCGGCTGCAGCTATTAGGAACATGCACTTATTTTTGCCTCTTACATGATAGCTAAACTATTTGGCCACAGCCACACAGAGGAAAACAATGTGAGAGTGGTTCGGGATCGTGTCTAAAAGGTAACCCTACATTTAAGGAACTTTGTCAAAATTCTTAGGAAACTCACCATGTGACATCTTATCCTAACCTTAAACATAAGATATCTAACTTTAACCGAACAAAGAGACAGATCAATCAGCAAAAACAGTCTTTGCATAGCATCCTCTTCCAAGTTTCAATATATAGTCTTCATTAAACAATGTTTATGATGTTAGTTAGCTAACTTCTTTGTTCATCATGTCAAAATGCAACATCTCCTTTCATTTAAAGGTGGGGTAGGTAATTTTGGAGAAACCAACTTGAGTGCGCTAAAATTTGAAAATACACAGCCGGAAAAAATCTGCCACTTCCTTACAGAGCCCCTCCTCCAACACACACGAACGCGCACATGACCAATGAGGGCACGAGATAAGCTTGTGCACAGATGGAAGGCTGACAGGCAGGTAGGCCATCCAGTTATTTTAGCCGGGCTGGCTAAAATGATTGGTCGTGCTTTTTACACTGCACTACGGCTTCCACAGATTACATTTTTTTATGGAATTTTGGTCAAAGCACTTAAGATATTCATTGCTATCGGGATGTTAAGAGCATTCCATGGAATATAACAAAAAGTGTATCTCGAGCCGGTTTCTCAAACTTACCTACCCTACCTTTAAGATACAAATCACTGTTTTTTGGCTTCCCAATGAGATTAGATTTGATACATGGCAGCAACAAGTAGTGTACAGGTTGATAAAATGATTGTATTCAACAACACTGGGGGACAAAGTGTTGTGCCTTGCTGCCACCTACTTAAAATACAGAACCTGTCCTGATGACAATAAAGATATGGCCCTGGGGTCATTACAATCTGAAAGTTTCCTCTTTTCATCTCATCATTTGGTAATCTGACAATGTTTATATTGATTGTGGGAAAGATCAGGGGGGGGTCAACAACACAATAAGGATCTATCTTCTGGGGATCACGAATGCCCAAAGCAATCCATTTATCAGATTTTGTGATAGCTTGTCAGTGCTGTTGTTCAAAAGGAAGGTTAGTTCCATGGCAATGCTGAAACACCACTTTAGATGTGGCATCTTTCTCTGGATTTTCCAAAGAGAAACTGTGAAAATCCTCATTATCTTTTTATTACAGAGGTGCTGTGATGCTTTACAGTTGCCTGTTACCTCAGCCTTAGGGTGGATGCCATTTCGGGGTAGATAGCTTATCATATGGGAACCCAGAGAGAGGGGGGGCAAAACTAAAAATACACCTTCTGTCTCAAGGGCGTAAAGTATTACAGCTCTAAAGGTTTCATTGCGACGGAAACCACCCATGGTGAAAATGACTGCAGTTATGGCACTGCAAAGTACAGTGCAGAAAGCATTTAGCATATGACAGATACATATTCTCATGTTTAATACATTTTGTCATACACAAGAGATATGAAGCTTTTCTGATATTTAAAGACCAGAGAGAAAAGTGGATGTGAATAACCAGGTAAAATACAAGAGGCTGGAACACAGAAATTCTCTGTAACATCAAGCCAATACATAACTCAAAATGGATACATTTTGACAGTAAAAGGCAGATTTCTGGCTGCGTCTAAATGTCACAAGTCCTTGCAGTGGATTTAAAAATCGCAATGTTCCTCTGGTTTCAAGCTCTAACGGAGATTTGTCATGCTGGATTCTTTTCACAGAGAATCACTGCTGTCTTAAAAGTACTCAGTAAAAGCCCCTCCATGAAAAATTCATACAAAGCCTCTCTATTTTCAGTAAGGGAGCTCAAGGTTAGCTCAGACAAAACCGAGTCGTTTTCTAGTATTGTAGATAAAACTCCCTCTGTGACAGAATGATCAGCAGCTACAAGGAAAGAAGATTTGCGGGGTGCCCCAAAGCAAAAACCATGATACACAATCCCAGGAAGAGTTTTCAGCCAGACCTCAAAAACATCAGATAAGAGATAAGTTCATGTCATCCTTCAAGGGCAACCTAATTTTGCTGAACATATTGTAAACTAGAAAAAAAATTCTTATTAGAGGAAAGGGATTAGCAGAAACTTGACTCAGTTAAATCTATTTATACTGGAGAGACCTCATTTATTGGTTATGTTTGCTTTACCAGATTTCTTAAGAGTTTTTGCAAAAGACAGGGCGCAGTAGGATGAAAGGAAATATCATGAGGAGTGGCAGTGAGTTTTTTTTAATGCAACAAAAAGCTTAATCTGACACTGAAGTAAATTAGTCTTAATAAGTAGGTTCTCACAGATGAACAGCAAACTATTTGTGCAATTAAGGCACATGCACTCGGTAAACTGGGTGCTTGATGACACATTGAGGCTAAGTAGTAAGAAATGTTGGTGCATCAAAAGAGGAAAGTTACTATCATGTACCCTTGTATTATTTCATTTTGCGATTTACACATATCATTCCTCTCTTTTCCTGTAAACCACTGCTCTAATTTGGTTGAGTTCATATTAAACTCAAGGGTGTATACATACTTTCTTCTCTTTACTCATGTCACAGTGTATAAGCAAAGCAATGAATGATGACTGAATTACATTAAGTTGCTTTGGTTTCAGGTCCTGATGCTTATTAGGACATTGTCTGCAATCAGTTCATTTCACTGTGACAATGTGGGTAATGGGCTGAAATATATTTTTGCCAGACATAGTCATTTTCAATATGACAGATAAGTAAGAGGTTATTACCATTCATCTAGTTTAATTGAAATAATGTAAAATGAGCTTATTTCCCTTATTGTTATCTAGTTGTTCAAAGGCAAAACATATATCAGGGTTCATATACTTTTTCACCAATGATTTTCCATGTCTTCTCCATAACCTTTATCTAATTTTCCATGACCAAAAAAATTACTCTTTCTCAGCGTACCACTGAAAATGGTTTATTTTAACATGGAACAGGAAAATAAGGTCTGCATATGAAACATGTTGTGCCTATCTAAAACAAATCAAATAGTAGGCTTACTAGCTTCTACACGCTAAAGCCACTAAAATCTCTCACCAGCAAAATACCTCGTCAGTTAAATGCCATTTTACGTTTCATTACTATACGATACAGTATTTATTATCATTATAGTATTACTATTTCGGCGATTAGATAAAATATAAATTATATTTGATGCAACTTTAGTTACATTTCCATGACTTTTCCAAAACTTTGGGAAAAATATTGTTTTCCATAACTTTTCCAGGGCCTGGAATTAGCTTTTTGAATTTCCATGACTTTTCCAGGTTTTTAATGACCGTAAGAACCCTGATATATACATTTGTTATATCTGATAATGAGAAAATGCAGTGAAATATTATTTTTGTGTCTCTATAACCCAGGTTAATCCATTACAATGTAATTAGTAGTTTGATTGTATTCCAGTCCAATTCCTGTCTATGTCCTTTCATCGATTAATCTCCCTTTTGCTTGAATTTATTTATAAAAGCTTCAGTTAAAAAATGCTTTGTGTGCAGGAAAGAATTGGTTGAGCATTTCAATGTTGTTGTGTGTCCCTCTCACCTGTTTTAGCTGAGTCTCTGAGTTTACATGCACATCACACGTCTCACAGTGAAACGTTTTGTTCTGCAGGCCCGTTAATGACTTGACGACTGGAGCCAGTTTGCTTTTGACTCCCGGCCGAGGGAAAGACTTGATGGAGCCCACGCCGGTCCTGGCCTCGAGCATCGTCTTGTGCTTCGTACCTGCAGGTTCAAACAGAGGCAGCACGGTCAGTACATTAACGTCACAAAACAGATGCTTGCCTGAAGGAGAGGTGAGATCAGAGGCTCACATCTGTTATCCCTTTTTCTGGTGTGGGAAGTATGAAGGTCAGTGTGGAAGTTCTGACTTATAGATTCATCTACAAAGCCCCTGATAAAAGTAAAGAACCTTGTTAAAATTGTTCAGGAAAAATGTCATGTTTGCACAAATCTTTCACTTTTAGATGTCCCCGCAGGGCACTGTTAGCACTGAGGTTTAACTCAGCCTTTAAGTGACTGAACTTGCAAGTGCAAACACAATTTTTATTCCCATTTCCAATCTCTGCTAACACTCCTCTTGCCGTCTTGCACTCTTAAAACAGGAGCAACAGCTGCCATTCATAAGAAAAATTCCACCAGCATCAGGGTTGAAATATATTATTTTGTTAAGTTTATTGTATGTGAAGAAGGCAGTTAATCGCTGAATTTCTACACAATCGCCTAGGATCAGTGTTGAAGTGTTCTTTGTCTTATTTATTGAAGTATATTGACTGTCTGTTAATACCTAGTTAACAAATACACAGAGTGGGGATATGAAATAAGTCATCTATATCCATTAATCACGGCTTAATGCACAGAAATGTCCCATTGTTTTTGCCTCGTCCAATTACTAATGAACATTTAATTAAATGTTTGAACAAAAGAACAAATCAAATAGTAATCTATAAACAGGTGCTTGGCAGACACAAACAGACTGACATCCCCTAGATTGAAGGCAGTCCACAATAAATTACACAAGTGACCTCAAAGTTATTGATAGTCAAGCAGTGAGGGTCCAATGTTAACTCATATTGATCAGGCTTGTTCGACAAAGAGTATATGACCTTTTAATTAGCAGCCTGCTGGAGCGGTTGTTTTAAGCTATTCTAAATAAATGGGGGGACATGTTTTACGAAACTACATTCCCACACAAGTAAACTGCTAAATCAATTATGTTTTGAAGGAAAATGTGTTTTTCTCCCAAATAACTATCAGTTTAAAATACTTGGTAAACGTTGAAAACTGAAAGATAAAACAAAACAAAAACACAACAAGACTACTTGGTTAGGTTTAGTTACTAGTTTGAACAAGTACTTACCTCATAATTAGACTCATAACAGACGTGTGTGTGTGCGTGTGCGTGTGCGTGTGCGTGCGTGTGCGTGTGCGTGTGTGTGTGTGTGTGTGTGTGTGTGTGTGTGTGTGTATGTGTGTGTGTGTGTGTGTGTGTGTGTGTGTGTGTGTGTGTGTGTGTGTATGATTTGAGTTTTAATTAACTTGCCAGCCCCGGGACAGATCTACTTGATTGTCGTGTGTTGCTGAGGACCCAAAGGAGTGCCGTGCCGTACTTGTAGTTGATAATAATTGAATTCCAGTTTTGGTTAAATTGCTGAAGTCACTCAAGTGATGTTTATAATTTATTTGCAGCAGATTTTGCAAACGTCTCTTACCGCTGTTGTGAGCGTCTAGCTGTGACGCCGAGTTGACCGCCACTTTGCACAGCGAGCAGTACAGCAGACGACGAGCTTTCTCCTCTTCTGTTTCAGCATCCGTCTCGACCTCGGGTTCGGCCTCAGGCTCCAGGTCTGGTTCTGAGGGTGAGTTTAATGTTGAGTCCCCTCCAGCAGCTGAGGTAGTCTCGGGGGCTGCCATAATGCTCGGGTCTATGGGTGAGGCCACGGGGGCCGGCGTTGGCATTGTGAGAGTCGTCAAGGATACCAAGGGTAGCGCCGGTCGGAGCACCGGAGAAAGCGGCAGGGGCATTGCTCCAGGAACAACATCTGCAGAGAGAGGGATTATTGTGTGATTTTAATCGTATGGCTTTATTCATCACTTGGATGCAAATCATTATTGTGAGGTTCAACCAACCTGTGGCTAAACAGACTTTGAGATGTGGATTTAAAAGATACATTTACTAAAATAAATAGCTGAATCTAATTGCAGTAACAAGATGGGTTTCATTAGGGTTACGTGAGCGTTGGGTTAAAAGACAGACACCACGGAAACATTTACAAATCCACCAAAAGACACAACTTAACTACTTGGTAATGGCAAGACAACTACTTGGTAAGGTTTAGTAAAACATTGTGGCTTGGATATAAAGATGTTTGTTTGTAACGTATTTTATGTTACTGACATAGATTAATGTTTTACCCATTCATCTATTCCCCTCCATCTCCTCAAATTTGCAGACTACCACAGACTATGATTATTAAAACATTATACATTTAAAACAAATGTAATACGGGATAAAATACTAGATATGCAGGAAAGTTCAGTAAAGACCAACACAAGCAAACCAAGAAGCCGATAATAATCAGACTTGTATTGTCAGTGTGTGAGATGTCATTAACATGTAACACAAATAGCTTCGGGGTGTGAAAGAAATGTCTGACAGACAGCAAAGGGACAGCAGCAGATCAATATATTTGACTCACAAAACAACAGCACATGTCAGTGTTTGGAATACAGAGGACTTGCTGCCACATATACGAAAATCTAATTTTGCCTTGGGAGCACGGCCTGATCGATGCCAATGCGTCGGAGTTCTCTGCACTCCAGCTTCACGAAATGAAGATCATCCCGCTACGAGAGCAAATCAATAATGAATTATGTCATGCTATTTTTGTGAGCCATTATATATGGTCCTTATTTATCCCAGTGGAGGTGTTGGCAGTTGGCGTCGCAAAACAGCTCCGAGTTACATTGTCAACGGGTTCACTTCTGCCAAAGGTTAAAAAAAATACATGAAAGGTTAGGAACCATCTACCTGTGGTTAAATAAGTATGGCCTCTCCTTTAGGCCTAGGCTCCACGGGGACGAAAACGGGTTGAATCCGCATATTTCTCATGCGTATAGCCCTTTAAGCTCGACGACGCCGTAACGGAAACGTAGAAACAGACCCCGCAAACGACAACGGGTCCAAAGGTGGATAGATCTGGGAACGGAGCGCTCTGGGGGGTCCAACGGGGCCGTAGAGTCGCCTATACGGTCATCCGTTTCATAGCCCCGCCTCTCCCCACCTCTCCCCACCTCTCCGCGTACCCCGCATCATTGCTGATGTGTTTCGTTAACAACAACAATAGCTATTTTAATTACCTCTCAAACTACCTAAACTAGTTATAAATATGTTTATTTTTACTGTTGAGTCATCATTACTGGATCAGCTGCTGCATGAGAAAGACACTGACGCTGTGAGAAGAGAGGAAAAAGAGACAGGCTCTGTGTATTTTATTATCATATATCATTATATCGTCGTTATTCATTTGTTTTAAAGCTCAATAAATAACAAAGAAGACCTTTGACCGGCACTTTTATAATTTTGTCCGGAAGATTTAAACTTTAACACACGTTGACCGGCGAAAAACTCTGCCCGGATCCCTCGGCCCCCACCGCGGAGAATACACAGAAGTGCAGCCATGACAACCATTCTTCTTCGCTGCTTTTGTGGAGGAAGTTGCTGCTTTTGTGGAGGAAGTTACAGCGCCACGTACAGGCTCGGCATATGTACTGCAGCTTTTCCAGCGGTTGGATGTAAACGGAGCCGTCTCGTGGAGCTTGACACAATCCGGTGTATATTGCGTGTGGGCGGAAGGTCTTTTGCGGTTGCGTTTGCGTTACTCCGATGCGTTTTTCCGTATGCGTTCCCATGGAGCTGGGGCCTTAGATAAGAAGGATCAGGAAAGAGCTTCTGGTGAGTGGTGTCTATTTATTCAAGCTGAGTTTCTGAATAGCATCCAAGGATTGCAGCTTATTGCAATGGCACTCTGAATAAAAGCTTCAGCTAAATGCTTTAAATGTATGTAAATATATGCATTGTCAAGTATTTCAGTGTTGTGAGCATCCAATCCATTAACCTTTGAAATGGGTTTGCGGCACATTTATACTTGTTGTTAGACTCTCTTCTTACAGTTGACTGACTCCAACTGTGAAATTTGCTGCACTTTCACGAAACTCGCTGAGTTCCCTGAATGCAGATCTCGAAAAGTAATGAACAGGAGCAGGTGGTAAATAACCGACAAAAATATGACATTTGCATTGAAATGAAGAGGAAAGCTATAGGGTGGCTTGCTTCAGTGATATGCAACAGAATCATAAAACGTGTGATAAATGCCAGATCTTTTGCAGAGTTGGTGAGCATCGAAGTGGAGCCTTAAATGACAGTGATGCTGGCATTTGAAAACGTATATTTAACAGCTCTTTGACAACACAGGGTTCAAGAGCAGGGCTATTATTTCGAAAGGGCTCTCTTTTTGAGGGCTCTGCAAGCCATAGTAGCTGATTTTCCATCAGGTTAGAACAAATTACCGAATGTTCACAACCTGGATCAAATGGGATCCAGGCATTGCCAGGAGAAGGAATTCATGAATTTATTTTTATTCTATTAAAGTAAGAAATGGTGAAAAGTTAATTCAGGTTTCTCCTTCTTGGACTTCAGAAAAAAGACCTTGAGAGAGTAAAAGACTGGAAGGGGATATCAGGGTATCAAAGACTGTTTGCCATCTTATATAATGTGTACTATCCAGTCAGGAAACAACTATTTGTTCTTTTGTGTTTGGTCTGACAAGCAGCCCATCTACTCTTTGAATGAAACTCAACATCAGTAGGGAAATCAAGCGCCTTGCCACACTCTCAGCTCTCCCCTCAGCATGACAGTCCATTACAATTCCCACATAACTGCAGAGAAATCATCAATTCGCATGTTGAGCTCTATCTCACCCTGACTCATGAACAAGACCAATTGAACTCTTTCACTCGGGGTAGATACTGTTTTGTAAAAAGCCATATTAAATACAAGTCTGATGTTTTCAGATGCACTGTTAATATCTCTATATTTAAAATGATAAACTGGATTTCATTGGATTGTGAATAAGAGTGTATTAAGCGGTTTCTTTTTTCAATCTCCCAGTGTTTCTGCAGCAGTTATTTTATGCTGTTTAGAGTGCCCTGGAGAGTATCTGTCCATCACCTGCCCAGATGACCTTAAGCAAGGGCATCTATAGATTAAGGTTGCCATCAGAGGATTGATGATCGTTGGTGATGCAATGTTGTGCAGCGATAACTAATTGACCTCTACCCGTTTATCTGTGTGCTTTCAGTGGACACTGCCTGTGAACTGATCTTAAGAAGAACATATGGCATGAAAAGGCCATTATTCCAGGCTGTTACTCAATGCCATGACTGGAACATTTATTTAAAGACTCTGGACTCTGAGAAGGGGGTCAGTGTGTGTGTTAGTTGTGTGTAATTTATGTTCTGTTTAAATTGAGATAAGGCTGAATACGCTACACGCAAGAGCCAGAAAATCTATACAGATGATCTTATCCAAAACGGCTATTCTTAGATTGAATAAGATCACATTAATATTGATACAAACAATGGAAAGAAGACATCAGCACTCCCACATTTGTACTTGTACGAAAGCAATACATCTTTCCGGGTATGTTGATATGATCAGTTACTATTAAACCCAAATAACAAATGACATCAATGACCTTAGCGTAATGTACATTAACATGTCAGATCAAGCCCAAGCCATTACCAATAGAACAATAATTAATCTGTGAACTATGTATGATGTGGCTGACCTTGTCACTCTTGATGAATAATGTTTATGCCTTGAGCAGAGCGACAGCGACCTCTTCGCCCCCTGCAATTAGCAACCACCAGTCGGCTCTTGTGTGCCAGGCATCAAAACAACCTGAAATCACAGAGATTAGCTCACTCGATCTCACCGTGCTCACCAACGAGCTTAAAGCTGCCATCACACCTGCTTCTCTGGGCAGCTTTTCAATGGCACGGACACCAGGCTGTGTGTGTTTCCAGAAAAGTGCAAGTAAAGGTTTTGGTGGTGATGTGAGCCAGCAATGTTTTGCCTGTGAATTGTTATTTAACTGCTTTTGGCATATTCTCTGGTCATTGTTAGGGATAATGTGTTGGTGCCGTGATGTTTCTTTTTGAAGATGGCCCTCATTTTTCCTCTTTCATTTATAAGCAGCTGGGAAATATAATGTTTCTCTGGCAAAGACTGACTGCATTGACACAGGGTTCTGATCAGAAACGAGCAGTTGGGGAATGGTACATTGTTTTGGTGCTATTATTAAGGAAAACTCAACAACATTTTGACAATATGCTTATTTGCTGTGATTTGTGGAATGTGAAGATCAATTTATTTAATATGAATTCAGCAGATGGCTCCATGATATGTTGAGCCTATCTTAGCACAGAGACTGAATGTAAGGGGAAAATACACCTTCCAACACTTGTATTGGATGTATTCTTCTAAAAAGTTCAATTTTGAATATCTCAGCTTCCACTGACTGGCTTTTTTACTGAGATATTCAATTTCTCAGTCTCCATCAGTGAATGGTGTCTGCTAAGCGTTTAATAGTGAGTGTGCTAAAACCAGTATGCAATTCATCAACAAATCGAATAGATGTCAAAACTGTGCAAGGATGATAAACCACCATGTTTGCTGTGTCAAAATGTCTTCTTAACTCCCCAAACTTCTCAATAATAATTAGCGAAACACCTATACATTCATAACTCTCTTGTAAAACCCAAACTGGTCAAGTGGACATTTCTGATATTTTCTGATCAAACAGACAAATATAAATGGGCAGCTCTAGAAATGTTGTTAGGTATATATTTCACTTTACAGAGCCATGGTAAGCTAGCTGTTTCTCCATCCTTCCAGTCTTTATGCTAAGCTAGGCTAATCGATTCTTGGCTCCATCTCAACGCACAGACTTGAGAGTATCAGCATTCCTCTCATCTAATT